CTACTGCATATAATTTGTGAACATTTACATGATTTGTACACTTTGAACTCCCTTTCAGGCTGAAAGGGACTGAAAAAATTCATACCGAGAGATTCTTTTAATTCCTCTCTATATATTCTATTCTCTATGGTTATTTCAGAGGTGTACATTTCTTTTGTACTGCGGTGTACTGTCTCTGGGCGGTAATGTAAACACAAGACGGATGTCGAAGCCACGGCCCGCTTATAGATATGATTCTATCTATCTATCTACACTGTACTCGGCCAGCGTACAAATTTGATTTTGCAGGTAATTTTTTCAATGGGCCTACCAGCTGATGTAGCAAACCGGACCCTAGTAGATTTGTTGTGTGTATTTTAGCGGCGTATTTGTGTGTTTTTTTAATGTTTCTTTTACACAATTTAAAAAAATGTTCAGTAGATTTTTTGTTTTGATAGAATTGATATCTGAAGGAAAGTTCAGGGTCCATAGAGTAGGAAAGTTGTACAGCTGTGTTGATAAACATTAGGCCCTATGATGTATTGACATGGGGTACTGCAGTGTAATATCTTGTAAAAATCATAAAACATTTCAAGATAAAATCTTTTTTTTGTTCCCGAAAAAAAAAAATTACCGGGCAACCTTCCTCCTGGATTCCGAAAAAATGTGCGATATGCTGAGACCATTTTTCTCCTGATGACATTAATAGGGCTTCAAAATACTACGACCTGGCGCCATACCATTCTCTAACCCCCAGTCATCAGCAGTTTAAGGTAATATGTGATTTAATTTTTGTTTTAAAAAGTTCGACAAATGTTAACTTTTTTGATTTTGACGAGAAAAAAATTAGATTTTGTATACATTTTTAAAGTTCTTTTTATAAAAGTTCTTTTTTTTAAGTCAAAGGCTATTTTAAAATTTTTGTACATTTCAAAAAATCCTTTAAAAATTATAAAGATTTGTGTGATTGTACATTTAAATAAATGTTTTTTTTCCTAGAAATTTGCTCAGCTTATTCGTGTGATTGTTAAGTGTACATAAAGGTAAACGGAAATTCACAGGTCAAAAACTGGGATAAACGGTAAGAATATATGGGGTTTTCTTGGAAATTTGAAAAATTTAAAGATTTCATTTTCAAGTTCTAGTTTTAAAGCTTTTTTATAAATTTATATAAAATATATTTTTTTCAGATCATTTCTTTGCACCCCAGGTCCCCCGGGAGACAACATAGGCTGTCTGCTGTAAGCAACAGTCTACAACAGCTCAACGCCAAACTGCGAGTAAGGAACACCAGGCTAAAGCAGAAAGCAAATGAGGATGACTTGGAGAATATAAAATCCGACCTTAGTGCTGAGGCATATCTTGAAATACAAGAAAAATCCGCACTCATTCCTAAAGTTTTTAAAGCAGTATCTGTCAAATATGTTTATGAATTGCACCCTGATCTATTTCAAAACCTAGACAAGCACGTCGAGAACCTTGGGAGCCATAAAAATAAAATAATAAAATTGTCTCATTGTTGTGACAATGAGAGTCAAGCATCACTGCAAATTGAAAAACTCTCAGAGAACCAAGTTCTGAGTTCAGCTGTCCAAGTTAATATATACGCAGAGTATACGCAACTGTAATTAACTTTCCTTGCATTATAACCTTGGATTTAGAGAACTTAGTATCTTCAATGACGTAACAATTTGTTAAGCGGTGGTAGAATTAATTAACTTACGTCAAGATGTTAAGAGTTCATTCAGAAATTTAGAAATAAGTAAAAATAAATCGTAACAAAGATTTTCATGAATCGATTTGTAAATATTAAAGATGCTCTGGGCGTTAATTAAAGTGACCCTTCATGAAAAAAGAGAAAACACCTTGAATATTATACATTTTTAGAAAGAAAATCTAAGATATCTCCATAAATTATGCTGAGACAAAGTTTCTAAGGATTCCTTTATGTTTCGATGAATGATCTGCAGCTATGTGTGGTGATACAAAATCAAATATTTAAAGAATTCATAGTTTGAAATATCTAAGGTCTGCAACATTTGGTTCCAAAGACATAGTGATTAGAAAATCAGAGTTTGTGGCAAAGACTCAATACCTTTACGTTGGCAATTATTTAAATTAGTAATGGAAAAAATCTGAAGATGCTCCTAGGTCCCTCTAGTAAAGTTCTGCATAAAGGACTTACGTTTTTGTCACAAACTTAAACTTTCAAATGTTGGAAACCTTAGATATTTCAAACTTAGATTGTTTGATATAACAGAATTCATAGTTTGAAATATCCGGTGTCCTAAAGTAAATCAAAGGGAAGATTGAAATCTTATATTTTTTCAAACTATAATATGGATGCCATAAAATATTTATTATTATTTTCGTTGGCAACAAACAACTTGAAATATTATTGAAATATTACGGGAGAAGACATTTAAAACTATTTACCAACTGTCATGTTTCGTGGGACACCCTGTATATAGAATAGATGTTTCGTGGGACACCCTGTATATAGAATAGATGTTTCGTGGGACACCCTGTATATAGAATAGATGTATTATTAGAATTCTTTTAAACTTCACTGCTCAATAACTTCCCAAATTTACAAACAAGTTTAAATGTTGGATAAAAAAACTTCAGGTTAAATTTACTTCTAATACGAGTCTGCAGATTTGCACGAGCCTAACAGTGTTTTTTTTTATGAGTTCCTTTTTTACTTTAATATTAAATCTAACCTTCCTCAATCCTCATATATATCTTCTTTTGCATTCAAATATATTATAGTTGCAAACGTTTATTTTTTTAAGCCACTATTGGACAAATTTTGATAAAACCTTTATATCTTGTTTGGAATTCAACGAAACTAAAAAAACGCCTCAAATTCTAAATTTCGAAACCCTATTATTTGAATTTGCAACCTGATTTTAATAATCTGTGATATTTTAAACTTTCACGATTTGATCAAATCAGGCAGTTTTGATAGTTTAAAATATTACTTTTTAAAGTTTATACAACATCAGATTGCAAAGGATGATACACTTGAGGTGGATAATTAACCACGTCTACTGTCGTAGTCCTTAGAAGTGTAACAGCGACCATTGTTCAAATATCCATTTTCAATCCGACAATCTATCTCAGCGCGAGCAAATTTAGACAATCTAGACCCAGTATTTCTGCACATCACGCTCGTTACATCAAATTCCAGGCCATTAGATTGCTCAGCGCACTAAACAAATTGATCAATAAAACATAAAAACATTTTTAGCATATTCAAGAAGAATACAAAAGGGTTCAATGGATTTCAAAAGGAGTCAAACTGATTTAAGTGGAGCAAAGTGGTTCAAGGTTGTGGTTCAAAGTGGTTGGTCAACATGATTCAAAGTGGTTCAACGGGATTCAGAGTGGTTTAAGTACATATGTTTCAAATAAATCAAAGTGATCTAAAGTGGTTAAAAATGGATTAAAATGGTTCATTAAGTGCTTCAAAATTATTCAAAGTAGATGAAAGGAGTTCAAGCTATCTAAAGTAGTTTTAAGTGGTTGATTATTTCCCACTAAATAGAACTGGAAGAAACAAGTGGTCAAGTAGAGATAAACTTAGGAATTTAAAAAGTCGGACTTAAGACGAGTTTCTGTCACCACATTTTTCCATCAGTTGGTGAGTGGACTTTAACAATAATACAAAAGTTAGTGTTAACACCCAATTATGACACGACTATAATTGCAGATTTTAACTCCACTTTGAAACTCAACTAAAACTCCACTTCTGAATGGCAAAAGTGCAGTTAGATTTCACTTGCTGTATTTTGGTTTAAAGTTGTTCAATGTGGTTTAAAGATTTTCAAAGTGGTTCAAAATGGTTTAAATTGGTTTAAACTGGTGTTATGTGCCTCAATGTGGGTTAAAGTAGTTCAAAGTAGTTAAAAGTGGTTCAAATGATTCAAAGGGGTTCAAACTTGTTCTGAAGTTGTCTAAATGGGTTTAAAGTGGTTATGAATTGTTTAAATACTATTAAATCTTTTACCAAAACAAGTCACTTTAAAGAAATTTAAATTTTTTTATTTCTATAAAATGTTACCTCTGAAGCCCCAAGAAGGTGTCCAATTTCATGTGCCACTGTCCCCAGGTTATCCAGTCTAGCACCAGTATCTCTCCGGACCCAAATATCGGTTGCTAACTTGTAAAGATATTTCTTTTCTCCATATCTTTCCTTATAAGAATCTCCGTAATCCTCTAAACAGGGAATTTAACATGATTGCACATGAGAGTGTAAAGCAGTGAGGGTCTGTAAGCGTTATTTCATGTGACGGCCTTCAAGTGTCCTATTTACAATGCTGTTACCTTGAAAGCTTAATTTGATAAAAAAAAAATGCGAAAGATACTGTCGTTTTTCTGACTCAAATGTGTTTAAACCAGAAAATTTCTTATAAGCAAAAATTGAGCCAGTCACTTTTGCAGAGAAATCGTAAATAAAAATAAATTTTTTAATAAAACAAAGACATGGATATCTTATTCAAAATTGACCTGCAGACAAAGCTTTAATGGGTTGAATTGTAAATGAGGCATTGCCGTCTTTGCATGACTTGGTCACTTGAAGTTACACTTACAGTTCCTTGGAAAGCTCTTTTACGGCTGGCACCATTAAAGGGAGTGACCGGCTATGTAAGGTAGTTGAATTGAGTATGCAGTGTTGTGGAAAGCTTCTTTTGGATTCATTTGAGACATATAAAACTTTATTAAGATCTGTAAATCCTGAGTTTGAGCGCAAATTCGATGTTCAAAACTTCTACTTTGGGGGTGGATACATTTTCAGAATTAGTTTTTTAAATTAATAAATAACGACGACAATACAATGTAAAAAAGTCCTACTTCATGTATAGGAACATGTTGAGGAAATAAAAATTAATCTTATCATCGAAAATAAGTAATCTTGTTCAATTATTAGTTTCTATTATCTCATTATTCTGGTTTCTCATTATTCACAAAGATTTTCGCAGATTTTTTAGAATTATTATTGAAAAGACGACATTTGAAGAATTTGAAGAAATTTGCGAATAAATTCAAAGAAAATTAGAGATTCAATTTAATCGATTTTAGCTTTGATTTATTGACAAACTTCTTTGGAGAAATATGTTCCTTACCATCTAATTAGATTACTTTAGATTTACAGATCTTTAAAAAGTTTAATATGTCTCAAATGAATCCGAAAGAAGTTTTCCACAACACTGCATACTCAGTTCAACTACCTTACATAGCCGGTCACTCCCTTTAACCATTTCTAAAATATCTTCCATTGATACCGTTAATAATATAAAGGTTGTTAACGTGGTAACTTTTAAAAATAGAAGAAAATATCATTAACGAAGCGAACGTTCCGTTCTTAGCTTTAAAAAGGAATGGCTACCTGAAAAAAAAACTTTTACCCGTTTTGACTAACTGTCAACGAACGTGTTGCTTAAAATAAAGTCAGAATGTGCCCAGAACGTAAAAAAGTCAGAACGTGCCAAGAACATAAAAAAGTCAGAACGTGCCAAGAACGTAAAAAAGTCAGAACGTGCCAAGAACGTAAAAAAGTCAGAACGTGCCAAGAACGTAAAAAAGTCAGAACGTGCCAAGAACGTATAAAATGACAGATATTTTTCCAGAATGTTCTTAAAATAACTTACTATAAATATCATAAAATAATGCTTCAGGGTGTCTAGAAACGGTATATACTCCATTCTTGTAAGGAACATTTCTTTGTCTAAAAGCTTTAAAAGTGTCGATTTCAATCACTGCGTTTTGGGATATCTCGTCCAAGGGGCCCCCTCCTGAAAAATAAAAATATTCAATGTTAAAAATGCTCAAAATGAGCATTTCACACATCATAAATAAGGAAATTGATGTATGTAATTTCAGAAAATTTTCGTTTAATCTATTAAAAATCTCAGAACATTTGTTACTTTTTATGCAATAGATAAACAAAAGAGCAATTAAAAGTAATAAGATGAAAGGTAGTGTAGTGATTAGAGTTTGCGTTAATTTCAGTTATTATAAAACTGCTCAGGAATTTATAAAAGATATTTAACGATGATTTTCTGAACTCCTAGTGGTCATATTACGTCACAATCAAGTATGTGCATAGACTCTATGCCCCTCACCTTTAATATACTCAAGTTGGGTTCAATTATCTCAACAAAAAATGTTGAGTATAAGTTTTTTATCTTACTTGGCGACGCTATTCCAGCAATAGATGATCCAGTATATTCAAGTTTGGTAGTCGTAGGAAGAAGCAGGACTTTTATGTTAGCTCGACTTTCTTTAATAACTGGACTTTTATCCATGGCCTTCAAAACCTTTTCAGAATCTAGGGGGCTAGACTGGTAGGGATAGTCAATATCTCCCTTTTCCAATATTGTTAAATCATAATCAGTTATTTCCAAATCATGGGAGTTAAAAATCCTCATTTTGTCTGTAAAAAGGTCCAAATCCCAGGACAGCATGGTTCGCAGAGTAGTAGATGGCTCTTTGAAATTTTCTGCAAGTGCAAAGAAATGAACTTTGAGATTCATTCTTTTCCCAGATATTTCTTGAATAACTCCAAGCAAGCACAGACTAAAATAGGAATTAAAAGAATTTCTTTAAATATTTGAGTTTTTGTTCGGCGTCAATTGTTGTCGAAAGAAATTAAATAAACAATGCTTGTAAAACAAGACTTAGAGAATCTGTTTGGAAAACCAAAACCAGAAAACTCTGAGTTTGGAAGACGACTTTTAGAAGACTTAAGCTATGCCTTTAAATAGTAAAACTATTTGCTTTGTACAACTTCAAATACACTTGATTATTGCTTTAATGTCGTTTTCTTATTCCTCTATTTTCTGGTTCTTACTGTAGTATGATATAAAGAGGGAAGATTAATAATTCTTCAAATTTGTTAAAAGATTAAAATGTACTTTTTCGTGACTTTTAAAGATTTAAAAGATTTACTTTTTATAATATTCAAATATAATATACATTACCTAAGAAGAACTAGCTTGATGTGCATGGCGATCTAAGAAAGCCAACCAACCAACTGCACTTGAAATCTTCATAAACCTGATGTTAAAAAGACTGACAATTCTAATAAAAGTCAGATTGATTTTATTGTTTGTGAATATATTGCTGTGTAAAATTGTCAAAAAAAAGAACGATAGCAATTAAATCTAATTCTAAATGAATGTTAAATTCAAATACAGGGGAAATTAGTTCCAAAGCTAACACTTGGCCAATTTTTAACACTGAGTGTTAGAAATGGGCCAAATCTGCAAAGTTATCTATTTCAGGTGTATATATCTTAAAATCCAAGCCGGCTTAAACAAAACTACACCATATATTTATCAAAAAAGGCTAAAACTAATTATTGAAACCAAGAAATGTCAACTTTAAACTGATAATAAGGTATGAGCATTAGTTTTTGATGATATTGGTTTTCATTTTAGAACATATCCCTATTTTGAAACAATTACCGGATTTCAGCTCATGTCTTGTTTTTGGAACATATCCTGGTTTTGAGACAATTACTCGAATTCATATCAATGTCAATTTCCATGCATTTACACACTTACGTAACTAAACAAGATATTTCTATAAGGTAAAATAAAAACAAAATTATAGAAAACAAACAAAAAATACTGTTCTATAATTTAAAGGAATTATAGCATCAAAAAATCAAAATTTTAATATTATTTTGTTCTTCCAATATATGTAATAAATTCCGCATTAATGCTTTATGCGAACTATGTTATCCATGTCAGTAATATATCTTAATTATCTGAATTTTGACCCTGTCCGGCTAGCCCGGTCAGTTTAGTTCACCTGTATATAAAATAAATTAGTTCAATACGAATTGTTTATTAACACGGACGTATACAGAGCCTTGAGTTTTGGCTAGAGATTGAGAGCCTTGAGTTTTGGCTAGAGATAGGGTCAGTGAGATTCTAATTAGACTTTGAGTTGAGTTATCGTTGAATTATCTCGGGGCTAGATTTCTTACATATAGATTTAACTAGAAATCCGGGAAATTCTTTATTCAGAATTCGGGAAATTGAATCAACTTTATTCTCGTATTTCATATTTAACAAATAAAATAGGGAAAACCCCAGTCTTTTAATTTGTGCCCATTTCTAACATTCAGTGTCAGAAATGAGCCAAGTGTTTTGGAACTAATGTCCCCTGCAATAGCTGTGAAAAAATAAAAATAAAATTTTATTTATGATCTGCAAGATTTACAATAGTCATGATTTTCTTTTTATTTCACAGCAAAGGGTTTCCAACGAAAGCATTTTTTTGATATTGGCTAAAATTTGCTCTTGGTTTTTACGATCTTTTACGAAAACTATTACGAAACTTATTTGGAAGTTATCAAAACTTAAAAGAAAACCAAATGAGAATTATAGAAGTTTTACTGTTTTATAACTTTGTATTTTGACATTTTTACACAACAATATTTTCATAGAAATAAAACTTCCTATATATGTCAGTTTTTAACCATTGATAATTTTAGAATGATGGTAGATGTAAAGCATATCATGCACTTCAAGTTAGTTCTAATTTCTCATGTAATAAATAAATCTAGATAAACTTTTCCTTCAAAATTCGTAATTTTTAAAGAAACTTCAGTCATATTTCTTGGTTCTTTTTATCTTACTATAAATAGAAAACCTTAAGTAGCTTTAGATATTTATATATATATACATATTTCAGTTTTTAACTTCACATTTTTTATTATAAAAGAATTGAACTAAATAAAATGTTTACCGTCTAACGATCCTCAGTCGTTANTGGACATGCACAGAGATATCCACAAAAGATGAGAGTTTAATGAAACCTAAATCTCTGTACATAGCATGGTCTGAAGTTTTAGTTTTGACTTTTGTACTAAAATTTTTATCGCAAATCTTGAACGCTTGATGTCGATATCCAGTATGGGCACTTTTGAACTTGAGGATGAACGCATGATCCCTTAAATTATCCTTGCAGGGTATGACCATTGACTATATACGGGATATCGAAAAGGAATTAGATTATGCCATGATTACGTCTGCATATGATGTATATATATATATCGGATACGGACGTTACAAGATCAATCATTGATCTACATAGATCACTGTTTGATCTCAAAACAACAGTTAAATTCTGACTCCTGGATATTTCTAAATATATCATACAATTGGAATTATGTAGATTATTGCAAAATTCACTTCAGATATATCATAGCATGGTCTGAAGTTTTAGTTTTGACTTTTGTACTAAAATGTTTGAAAGTATTTTGAGCGATGTGAAAAAGCTGGAAAAAAATGTTCAACTGCAGTCTACCACGAGAACCGTGAATCTGAATTCTTTCCGCTTTAGAGTCTGTTAGATTTAAGGGATTTCTTAAATTTTAACTTTGTATTTATTGATTATTTCAAACAAGAAAAAACAGAAAAGATGGAGTCGTAGTCTTGAGTGTCCACAAAAAATTACGTTGGAATAACACAGGGATCCAGACAGCTTTCAAAAGTTGCATCTATTTTTAAGACGGGATCGACTCTAACTTGTTTTTAGTTGTAGTTTTTGTGAAGTAATTGGCAATTTTGATGTATAAATATTTTCCGATCTGAATTAGATATCACACGTGGATCTAGATTGCAGGTGAACAAAATCATGTTTTTATATGCGTTAAAATTTATATTTTTTTAATACTTTTTTTGATTCAACTAAAAAATGAAATTGTGTTGAATTTCTGATTTTTTCTTAAATTCTAGGTTCTTACGACAATGCGCGATTAACAAAGGTCAGAACTTTTTTATGGAGTATTTCAAATCAGTTATCCCTGCAGGGTATGATCATTGACTACTACGGGATATTGAAAAGGAATTAGATTATGCCATGATTACGTCCGCATATGATATATATATATATATCAATCAATCATTGATCTACATAGATCACTGTTTGATCTCAAAACAACAGTTAAGTTCTGACTGCTGGATATTTCTAAATATATCATACAATTGGAATTATGTAGATTATTGCAAAATTCACTTCAGATATATTATGTGCAATTGAAAATCCATTCATAAGTTCTTTATTTTAAAAACTATTTTCTACATCATTTACAACATTTTCAACATTTACAACATTTTCAACATTTTCAACATTTTCAACAGCCTCGCTTTTCATAAATTTTAACAAATTATTACTTTTTGGCTTTTTTGGAAAATTGGACGTCTTCTTGGGATGAAAAGATAAATAAAAACACTTCCTTTGGGCTTATTATTGGGTAACCTTTCCTTTTCTTAAAAATTTATGATTTTTTTTTGTAAAAAATGGTTTTTGTTTACTAGTGTACGTAGTTTAATAATAGAACCAGAACAAAAGGAGAAGAATTAAATATTATATCACCACGGAATTTTCATTTTTTAGGGCAATAAAATCCAAGGAAGTATTTTTATCTTTTTATAATTTTCAGCAATTAACTGTTAGAAAAAATCAATTTAAAAAAGATTACTTTCAGCTTATATTTTCTCTTCTTTTTAAATAATTCTTTGATTTAGTAAAGTGATAGCTACTGAGAAAGCTCTAATTTTAAAATTACCAAGACAAATACCAATATTTTAAGCAGATTATTGCATTTTAAATTATGATCACTAAAATATATTGAGACGATTAATTTCCATGTTTATTGGGACACCCTGTCCCACCCTTCTAGTTTAGATAGGTTTAGGACGAGAGGTTATGAGGACTCCGACAACAAACATGAAAACTATGATAACTGCTACAGCTGCCACTGCAATCCCTGTCCATTCATTCTCCAGTTAGATAGATAAAAAGATAGATAGATAGATAGATAGATAGATAGATAGATAGATAGATAGATAGATAGATAGATAGATAGATTTTAATGGTTTAAATTTTTGAATCAAACAAAAAAATAAGAAAAAGTAAAAAAAGTATCAATTTTCAAAAACAGAAAGAAAGAGTGAATTGAAAATGAAGAATTATACGAGAATCAAAAAATATTTATCAAAAAAAGAATTAATTAAAAAAACTAAAATCACAGAAAAAGGAAAAATCAAATAAAAAATGGATTACCTAAAGACTGTTATGTTGTTAGTAAAGATGTACGCTAGACCATATTTGTCCTCTGGGAACAACATTTCATCCAACAGCAGCTCAGAGACACTAAATATTTGCATCTTAAGTGGGGTGGGGTGGAACGTGTTTGACACCAGTTCTCGTTAAGTTAAGCACACTTGTTCACAGCCAGTAACTGGATTGGTGTCCAGACTGGTGTTCAGGGGTTCGATTCCCGTACTCCGCACAAACCTGTAGTTTCATAATAACATCTGAAGCCGACATCTGGTTAAGCAGTTATGACCACCTGACGGATGTAGGAGGATAGAGGGGCGGGTGTCAACAACTCTCGCAGCTAACGGGTGTGTGTTTTCTACTCAACAAGAAAGAAGCTTCAAGTGGATTGATCCAATTAATGATGTTGAAGAGAGGAATGGTGAACAAGCAGGTAAGAGTAAGTACCTAGGGGTATCCAGATGTTAGGGAGCAATGAGTGTGATGTTTCCTATCAGTATGGCACCCAGGCCTCATTCCAGTATATCAGACGGATTCCTGCACTCTATATTCTGAGGCCTAAGAAGAATCTTAGGCAGCTGGAATCTTGTTAACCCTCTTCTCAGTATGAATGAAGCGTGGATGGATGAATGTGCTGCCAGATTACAACTCCTGGTAGATCAATATAAACCCAGACAACACCAAACTTTCGCAATAGAAAAAATACCGAGATTTGATCGTAACAACCCGATCATGTCCTGGGGCCAAAAAAATCTCTTTTAAAAGCATTTTTAGTACAGGGTCTTCTCACAAAATGGATTTTCAAAAAATTTTTCAACCCTTTTTTAGTTCTACCAAGAATCAAAAGCTTTCGAAGACAACTTTTTGTAATTCTGAGTATCCATAAACCTTCCCTGGGGTCATGCGAGGTCCCAAACAAAATTCAGTTCAGCCGTTTTGACGTTTATTGGACACTAACAGACTAACAGACACCCAGAATACCAAAGTATATATATAGCTGAGATGAAAGATTGAATTGCATGGTGAGTGTTTAACACTTCAGAGAAAACTTACTTGTTCAGATTTATTATTAGATGCGAGTTTGAACTGCAAGGTGTACAGTACTTCATAGAATCTTCGTCAACTTTACTCTTCTCCCTTGTATCTCCAACCTATACAGTGTACAGTTTATGTACAGTTTATGTACAGTACATAAACCATACAAAAAAATAACAATTGAAAGTAAACAATCCCGGCCTTCCTACCCTGCACAGGAGAGTTCTTAAAAGCTGAAAATTGTACAACCCCTTGTACATCATAAACTCGTCGTACAAAAAGGTCAATGAATACGTTTTACTTTTCGGGTCAATCTGTAGAAAACAGTGTTTAACTGATCAGTATATTGTCATTCTGTATTGTGTGTTTTACGAGTTTTACTGGTCATCTAAAAAAAACAATACAGGACAGAGCTAAATTAATATTTTCAATTTCAGCTGAAACACTTCGGTATGGTGAAGACGACATGAGCTATCAAATGAATTGATTATATCCTTTGTTTTTTTCATTTGATTTTTATTTTTTCCAATTTTTTTATATTTTGTTAATAGTTTGTTACTTTTTGTTTCCATTTTATTTAATTTTAATTATTTTGTTTTATTTTTTGAACCGTTTGCAGATTTCCTTTAGTTTTTTCATTTGGTTTTTATTTTTTCCAATTTTTTATATTTTGTTAATAGTTTGTTACTTTTTGTTTCCATTAATTATTTGATTTTAATTATTTTTTTTTTTTGAACCTTTTGCAGATTTTTTTAAGTGAGATTTTTAACCTTCGATACGCTCTGGTTAAAAATCTCATCAAAAAAGTCTCGAACCCTCTCGAAAAAGAAAAGTTTTTGGCTCAAATACTTTACACCTCTCCCCCCTTCAACCAGTAGGGTTATAAATAGTTTTTACAATTTGTTTATATTTTGTTAATATTTTGTTACTTTTTGTTTCCATTTTATTTAATGTTTATCATTTTGTTTATTTTGTGTATCTTTTGTAAAAACTAATTTGTTTAAATTTTGTTTAAATTCAGTTTACCTCACAGGGGTTTTTGCAGTACGTTACTTTCCCCTTGATTATAACACTTCCTTCCTCATCCTCGTCGAACTGACTCACACTGTAAAAAGGTCCAAATATAATATAGTGAAACCTATAAAACAAAGTCCCAGTGAAATATAGTGAAACCTATAAAACAAAGTCCCAGTGAAATATAGTGAAACCTATAAAACAAAGTCCCAGTGAAATATAGTGAAACATATAATACAAAGTCCCAGTTGAATATAGTGAAACCTATTAAACAAAGTCTCAGTGAAATATAGTGAAACCTATAAAACAAAGTCCCAGTGAAATATAGTGAAACCTATAAAACAAAGTCCCAGTTAAATATAATGAAACCTTAAACAAAGTCTCAGTGAAATATAGTGAAACCTATAAAACAAAGTCCCAGTGAAATATAGTGAAACCTATAAAACAAAGTCCCAGTTAAATATAATGAAACCTATAAAACAAAGTCCCAGTTAAATATAATGAAACCTATAAAACAAAGTCCCAGTGAAATATAGAGAAACCTATAAAACAAAGTCCCAGTGAAATATAGTGAAACTCATAAAACAAAGTCCCAGTGAAATAAAGTGAAACCTGTAAAACAAAGTCAAAATAAAATATAATGAAACCTATAAAACAAAGTCCCAGTGAAATAAAGTGAAACCTATAAAACAAAGTCCTAGTGAAATATAGAGAAACCTATAAAACAAAGTCCTAGTTAGATATAGAGAAACCTATAAAACAAAGTCCTAATAAGATATAGAGAAACCTATAAAACAATGTCCTAGTAAGATATAGAGAAACTAGAGTGTAGATTGTTGAACTCAAGCTCTTCTATTGTACTGATATCAACCTATGTTTAGGGTGTAGTTTAGTACAGTAAATAATTAGAACAGTCGTCATGTACAAGGTGTTTCACAAAACATGGCATAAGCAAGACGACTTGAATGTCGTCTTTGATACTTGAATTTTTTGTGACATTTAGTCGTCAACCTACTTTACCATCTATGAATCTTGAAACAATAACCTTAAAATTAATCTAGTCCTACTCCTGGCATTTTGAAAATGTGGTCTGCCCTTTTGTGCTGTCAAAATTATCGAAGATGTCAACAATTTTGTTAAATTAATCCAAAATTGTCGATATGCACGAAATTCTTCATATCTCGAGCAATATTGATTTAATTGAAAGCACAGAAAAGGAAGATCATGGAAATTACTAAACTGGGAATTAAAATGAAAATTTAAACTTGAAATTATAATGAAAATTACTTAACTCGGAATTAAAATGAAAATGACTTACGTTGTTTGATTTATCCGGCCCACTGAACTCAGAGAAGTCAAGCTTGACCCTTAAATAATTGGCTGTAGAATTGATGCATTTTATGAAGATTTCATCAATGTATTTTATAACAAAGGGCTCTAATCAAACTTAATTTAATTTTTCTTGTAACTTGTAATATCAAGACAACATGTCTACCCAATTTTACAACCTTAAAATTATGTTCATTATTTTGAAGTGCTGGCAGATTCGTATTTAATTATGTCTATATCATATAGCTGGACAATAAAGTGAATTTTGATAAGTATTATTTTGAACCTACCTAAATAACTATTTTAAACCTACCTAATACATTATTTTGAACCTACCTAAATAACTAATTTAAACCTACCTAATACATTATTTTGAACCTACCTAAATAACTATTTTAAACCTACCTAATACATTATTTTGAACCTCCCTAAATAACTATTTTAAAAAACCTACCTAATGCATTTTGTTAACCTATCTAAATAACTATTTTAAACCTACCTAATACATTATTTTGAACATACCTAAATAATTATTTTAAACCTACCTAATACATTATTTTGAACTTTCCCAAATAACTCTTTTAAACCTACCTAATACATTATTTTGAACATACCTAAAGAACTATTTCAAACCTACCTAATGCATTATTTTAAAAATACCTAAAGAAATATTTTAAACCTACCTAATGCAATATTTTGAACATACCTAAACAACTATTTTAAACCTACCTAATGCATTATTTTGAACCTAACTAAATCATTATTTTGAACCTACCTGAAGAACTATTTTGAACCTACCTAACGCATTATTTTCAATCTTTTTGATTTTTTAGTATCCATGTTTAGTGAAATTTTATTTTACATTGATATTTGATCATAGTAGTCAGTATGAGGTTTTCTTTGCCATTTGTAAGTCCGTCGATATCCACGTTTTTGGAAATGAATTCTATTATTTTAAACCTACTAAAGCATTATTTTGAACCTACTGAAAGCATTATTCTGAACCTCTTTGAAGCATTATTTTGAACCTACTAAAGCATTATTTGGAACCTACTGAAGCATTATTTTGAACCTACTAAAGCATTATTTTGAACCTACTAAAGCATTATTGTGAACTTACCGAAAGCATTATTTGGGACCTACTTGAAGCATTATTTTGAACCTACCTAAAGCACTTTTCTAAACCTACTTTAAACATTATATGAACTTATTTAAAGCATTATATGAACATATTTAAAGCATTATATGAACCTATTTAGAGCATTATATGAACGTACCTAAAGGGATGGTCTAGGCAGTCCTGATAAACAACTTTTCTAAGCGGAGGTCCTTGTTCATCTGTACGGTTTGAGTTAATCAGACATTGTTTGATCTGGGCCCCATAGTTGTGTCCATATCTTAATATCCATAGATAAATAAACAATAACAGATAGAACACTTGATGTCGTCTTTTCAAGATTTAGGGGGTTTTCGATCACAATAACCCTGAGGCAGAACCGCAGAAGCCCAAAGGAGTACAGGAAAAGTAAAGGATTTACACCAAAAGAAATGATATTTTCGTTTCCAGTTTAAAATTGTTGGAAAGAGAAGTTTTCAAGTTGAAACCTCCCCCCCCCCTCCCTCTCCTATTACCATTTCTACATCCATTTTTATGCTTTGTTAAAATCTTTTCTAAAAATGATAAAGAAAATAAAAATCTGGAATATAAAAAATTCTAAAAATCCAAATTGATTAAAAGTGTTCTCAATCTGTAAAATGCACAACTTCTAAGTAGGAAATATATTTAGATGCTTTTTACATCATCATCAGTCCTTAAGAATGAGAATCATTATAACCTGGTTCCATAAAATGGAAGACCCATTCTCGGATTTGGACCCTAAAAATAATATATATTAAACAACTTTTCTGCAAGAGATATAAATTTAATTGAAAAGAATTCCAAATAAAAATTAAAACAATTAAAGATTAAAAAAGNAATATTAGAATATGATGATATTACCTATATTGCAAATATTAGAATATGATGATATTACCTATATTGCAAATATTAGAATATGATGATATTACCTATATTGCAAATATTAGAATATGATGATATTACCTATATTGCAAATATTAGAAAATGATGATATTACCTATATTGCAAATGGTTCGCCGTATCTTGTATCCACTAGTAATCCCGGACAGAAACATCAGTAGAAAACAAGACACTGATAATCCCACCATCATCTATATATATACTTTGCATGTCAAGTTGTTTGTTAGTCAATTTGTATCCAATAAACGTCAAAGCGGCAATTGGGACCAAACTTTGTTTGGGACCATTCATGACTCCAGGGAAGGTTGGATCCAAAAGCTTTTGACTTTTGTGATATTTTAAGAATGCGCGAAAAAAAATTTGAAATTCCGAGAACTTTTTTGATATTGTTTTATACTGTAAAGTGTATAAAAAGAGAAGATGTACCAGTTTAAGATTTACTAAACTATTTGATCAAAATTGTTTAACTTTTTTTAACAAATTGTTTGAAGAAAATTTAGCTTAAAGCCTAATTGGTCAAACTGTAAACTTAAATTTGCTAAAATTGATCAAAACTAAACTTAAACTTTATAAAACAAATTGATCAAATAATAAACGTAAATTTTGCTAAACTTTTTTAAAACTAAACTTATCTTTCTAAACAAAATTAAGAACAAACAAACTAATTAAAACTTGCACATTTTTTCTACCAAAATATAGATTTTGTCCAAACCCTGAGCACTCAAATATCTTTTACTAAACCATTTTTCTGAAAAGAATTATTCATCATTAATTATGATAGTTTTTAAGGTTCTATTATTATGTAACATTCTTATATATCGTACAAATTTTCCCGCGATTTTTTTACCAATAGTATATTTATAAAGGTAAAAAGAATATACTTTTTAGTTCTTCAGTTTTTAACTAAACAAAAAAGTACTTAATCGTCACTTAGATATTGCTCGAAAACAGACCGCACTGTTAAGTCAGCATGTGGAAAAGTACTTTAAAGAACTTTTCTTTTGTAAAAAGTAATTTAGCCCATATAAAGACATACAATCTAATTATTACTGAGCCATTTTTTTAAAAGTAAGTTATTAAAGTTTTCATCACTTTTTGACAATTTCTAACTTTAAAAAATCTTCATTTTTTAAGCTTTAAAAGATAAATACTTTCTGTATTCTAACCCATATAAAGACCTACAATCATCAGCTGGGATTTAGTATAAATACCGGGGATACGAAGCCGTTCAGAAACTTCAAAATAGAATTTGTTTTAAGTTTTTATTATTTCTACATATTTCTCCAAACAGTTATTTCATTGCTATTTCAAATAAAAGTTTATGTTTTAAAAACCGACATTCAAGGATTTTAAGAATTTATAACAGAGGTTTGTAGACTGCAGAGGCCCTGATTGGCCGGAGGTTATCCTAGGACTAATGAAAAGAGGCCTTTCCGACATCCTCCGGCTTCTTATTTAGAGACCAATAAACTATCTATCTATCTACGCATCGTTATCTCTTCTTATCATAAACACAAAGCTGTCAACCCCATCCCATATTCTTCGGTGAAAAAAGGCTGCGATTTTAGTCTATAATTTTTGTTTCTTTGTCATTAAACTACGTCCAGAGATCGTTTTGAAAAATTTGTTTTATTTCAAATCGATCCGAAAAATGAAGTTAAGATACAGTTCCGTTTTAATTATGTTCATCACACAAAAAAATTAGTTTTTATTTTATTTGTTAATGCTAATTAACTCTTCGTGTAATCAATATTTGATTTGAAACACAAAAACGACCAAGCTATATTACACTTGATTCAAGATAAAAGAGATATCTATTGGCCAGCTGAAGATGTTGTGGTTTACAACGAAATATATTATGGCAAAAATGACAGTTTTTTAAAACTTAGCGTGATATGTTGGGTTTGAGAGAGTAAAGTCATGAAACCATTGATCAACATCAAATACTATTTATGTAAACATAAAATAATTGCAAATTGGAATAATGCGGACTTTATCAAATAAAATCAAATATTTATTGCACGAAGAGTTTATTATCATTAACGAATACAATTATCACAAAAAAAAAACGATAATTCCTTGAAAATCAAGATTAATATAATTTATCCCACATTTTGCATATATATTTGAAATATAAAAATAAATAATTTTTGATCTTCAGAAATTGTTATCTTGTTTAAAAAAGCTGAATTACGTTTTAAAATTTTTTTTTAAAAATATAAAGAAATTGAGTCTTTGCCACAAACTCTGATTTCCTAATTCCTATATCTTTGGAACCCAATGTTGTAGATCTTATAAATTTCAATTTTGAACTTTGTTAGATCAAATAATCTAAGTTTAAAATATCTATATCAGCAGATAACTGATAAGTATGAAAAAAAGTTTTGCCACAAACTCTGATGTTCTTTTTTTTTTATCTTGGCAAGCAAATGTCGGAAACCCTAGATATTTCAAACAAAAACTTATGTTAGATAAAATAATCCAAGTTTCAAATAACAAAGGTTTACACCATCAGGTTGCAAAGAAAAGCACGAGTGTTTTAATGTGTTTCCTTGAAGTTTAGAAGAAAAAAATGAAAAGGGGTGGAATTCCCCCCCCCCCTTCCCCGTATTGGATAGGGTTAATGGTTGAATTTTAGTATTGTTATATAATTGTGGTTACTCACGGTGTGGGAGGGGGAGTTGTTGCTAGGGTTAAGATGAAAGGGGAGGGGGGGTAGGGTTG